GGTTTATACACCGCCTAGATAAGTACGCCTTTTCTGATGTATTTACGGCATGAAAAAACGTAATCTTTTCGCCTGCATTAATATAACATATAATCACAATCACTATGATTGCTATATTCCTCTCGCGCAAATGTGTACCTATTCTTTCATCTCAATCTTAGAGTATGAGAGGGTGCTGGGCCTCGTAAAATATTACATAACGTACGCATGTACAGCACATCGTAGTGCTTTCGTCGCAGAGGAAAAGGAGCAAAGGGCTATGACAGTACTACCTTGTGAGATATTTGTGACATGTATTATTATGGATTGAGAGCGTGCTGCCATCGGTTGTATCTTTGTAAACTTTTGCAATGTTATCTGTTGTTTTGAGTGTAGAAAATACCGCGTGCGGCAGTGGTAGACCTGCCTCGGAACCTAAATAGAAATGTGAGGGCCTCCGCTTGCCTAACATGATCGGATTCTTACAAACCTAACATGGTCCTTCGAGCGCAGGATCATTGAGGAATCACAATAGAGTGGTAACGAATCCTTTCTCTTACGCAAGTAATTCGCCCGTTAAAAGATTCGAACATAGGAAACCGACTGAACTCGAATCCCTTTTCTCATCGTTACGAGAGAATCGGTCCACGTAGGCCATTGTAACATACTGACGTGGCCCTCCCCTGTTTGATATTGAGAGCCTCTGTTGAGCCCTACCGATCCGAAAATGAACGAAAACCTAGAGAGGTAATCGACGTGTGAGAGGCTGGGCATAGAGCCTCGACGCACTCGAAGTTGCTTTCAGCAACTAAGAAACTTAAGAAAATTATGACAGGCAAAACCCCTCGACCACAATGTGAAATTGACAAACAGCTGTGGAAAATCTTGCGGAGAAACGGGCATTGCTGAAAGTCCTAGATGATGCGCGATACTAAATGATATGTGCCCGAAAAAAGGAATACTGATGACACCAACACTAGAGGAGGAAGTGATAAAGGCTGACAAATTTAATACGAGAAAGTATCGCGAGACGATGGTGTAGAGTGAATGCTATGGATTGGCTCAGCAATGTGAGCCCCCCATCTCTATCACGAGTTCAGTGTGGACGAGGGAACTCTGAAGACGAATCGTGAGTGTTACCCGAAGTGTCGGCATACAAGAAATTTGTTGTGGACATAGTGAACCTGGCCGCCCCATTCTTGGGATCGCCAATATGAAAATGCATATGCCACACCGAGGAAGACCTCAGTGACGTAGAGCAAGTTCAGCTTACTTGAAGTCTTTCGCTAGAGAGAGGAGGCTGCTGATTGTATGAGCAGGATTGTCAGGTCGTCCCGTCACTACGCTACGAAGCCCGTTTTTGACATCCTGAAGGAGAGATTTGTAGCGAACACAAGTTTATCATAAACAGAACCACACGCTCCGCCGCGACTGAGATCTTGTTAAAATCTAGAAACCCTGTAACTAATATCGAAATCTGAAGAGCTGAGACATCTTTATGACAAGCTTGAGACCAACAATACGAAGGACTGAAAGGCCTTGTGTTGGAACCTGAATCATAATAGTAAGCTTGCTCATACCAATTGTCCATGAAATGAAGAATACCACCTGGAACTGAGAATCCTGATAAGTCACAGGTTAATGACAAAGACTGGAATTTAGATAACACTAATGGAAACTACTAGACAAAGAAATCAGAGAAGACAGAGGTCAGAGGTTGACATCCGCTGAGTTGCTAGCTCGAACGATGGCTGCGTCCCGGAAATGCCAGTGGTCCAGAAAGGTAAGCTACTGGTTGCCTGCCTATCTCTACACGCGATGATAATGGTCCGACTTGCACGTTCTGGCAGAAACATCTCCACCCAACACACACCCTGTAAGAATGTTCGATTGAGGCTAGGGGAGAGATCTTTCGATACTGAAGCAGCGGCTGGATACGATGCCTTTGTCTGCCTACGAAGGAATCATATCAGTAGTAGGTGTCCATCGAATATGAAGGCAACAAAATGCGGGAAGCGACCATCCATGTGAGCCCTGCCTGTAGAGAAAAGAAATTGCCCTGACAGACAAAGTGTGAGCCATCCCGCGAGTCGATGCTAACAGACTATCGAGAACATCCGTACCGCATGCCACTATCGGCTAGCCTATCACACTTCTGAAATTAGAGGCCGCCGCCTAGAGCCGCGCCTGCAGATGACAGCTACACGCCCACGAGTAAGAGCAACTGTTGGAGACACGCAGAGTGACCGAAGTGCTGTTTGACTACATGGTAGCCCTCAGTCGTTCGTGAACGCCAAAGTCCATGATGAAGTAAACTACCCGTTATAGGCCAGAACTCCTAAATATAAAGTCGTTTGGGAGAGTCACCACGTCATGCCAAGTTTTCACCCAAGATGAAGATTTATGCTACTGATGAAATGGAGGCGA